AAAAGACAGTGCGTCAGTGAAACAATCTGCGAAGTAGACGGCACACTAATAAACAGCCTTCACCGACGATTGGAATGCTGGGCAGAGCACTTCACATCGCATTCCGACCAGCCCCCGCGCTGGCTGCCCCAAACAGTTTTCTTGAGAGTGCACCCTGGTCACTATCCACGGGACCGCCCACAGAGGCAGAGATCCGAAAGTAACTCCAAGCCCTGAAACGCCACAAGGCAGCTGTCACACCCATCTACAAGAAGGGCTGTCGTAATCCTGTTCCAACCACAGGGGCATGAGTCTGATTCCAATAGCGCCGAAGCTTCTGGCGTCCGTTTTATTACGCAGGTTATGCCAATTCCGTGAAAAGCAAATCCGCGAGGAGCAGGCCGGGCTTCGTGCACGCCTTGGCTGTATGGACCAAATCTTCACCCTCTGTCAGCTACTAGAACACCGCCACGCATACCATTGTCGTGTTTTCAGACGTATTGTATTGTATTCAAGCTTTATCGAGTTATATATACAAGCTTTCAGCCAAAAAAATAGACCACCGTTACAATTCTGGTAAAAACAGGGGGAAAAAGTGGGATGTGAAAACGTACAAGGTATGAGTTAATTACCAAATGCATTAGAAAGCTCAGAGCGAACACTTTCCTTGTCGGTCAGTATCCGGGCCAGATGGGGTACCAAATAGTTTCTGTATGCGGATATGCGAAACGGGATAAGTTTGTACTTGGAACGGGTACAGGGGTGGGATTTGCATGCACACAAGTCAGTGTGTAGAGGATGGGTGCCATCAGATAGGATATTGTCAGCAAACTTCAAGCATGCATCAATATGGGCATTACACATTGCCAATCAGAACAGATAATGGAACTTGGGAGACACGGTTGATCATTGAGAAGCCACGCCTCAGCAACTTGAAATCAGCCTTCAACAAACCAGGGAAAATTACAGGAGAGCAATAAAGGGGTATAGAGAGGACACATTGTTGAACGAAAGTGTTTGTCACCGGCGAGTCAGAACAGAATTGGCGCAGTTTTCTGATCTGAAAAGAGAGCCTTTTCAACTTGCGAGCAATACTTTGGGTATGCAAGGACCAGCGAAGGTTACTTTCGAGTGTGACACCTAAGTACTTCACATGGCTGACCCTACTCATCGGCTTTCCATGAATCTGGACATTGTCAGAGGGAGATGGGGTACGGTTTAGAGTGAAAATACATTCAAGGCATTCTTCAGGAGTAAGATTAAGATCGGAAGAAGTGGAATGTGAAACGAGGTGGGATAGGTTCGTATTATATTCAGCCAGTTCTGATTGGTTAGATATGGAAATGCCGATATCATCAGCATACTTAAAATGTCGAACAGGGGGAGTAACAGGCAAATCACTGATATAAGTCGAAAAAAGATGAGGTGATAGGACAGCACCTTGAAATACACCCGAGCTATTGAGTGACGCGGTCGACTGTCTTCGGCCCAACTTAACATACTGATATCTTTGTGAAAAGTAATCTGCAAGCCATTCAAGAAGAGAAGCCGGACAGCCAAAAGATTGAAGCTTGTTTAGTAAAAGACAGCGGAGCGCCGAGTCGAAAGAGGAGGAGTAGTCAAGAAAT